GCGCCTGCGGCTTCGCCTGTGGTCAAGAAGTGAATCATGCAGCAACCACGCGCCCAAGGCAAAAATAAAAAGAATCTTTAGAGCTGCCTTATCAGCAGGCCAGATGCAGGTGGGCACGCACTTGGCTTCTTGAGCTGGCCTAGAACAAACTACCGCAGCGACTGAGGCAGCAGCGTCAGCGGTAACGGCAACGGCAGCGGCGGCGCCTCGCAAAGTGTTCCCTGATAAGCGAGACGGCTCACACACGAGGCCCAGTCCCAACAGCCAGCAGGACGGAGCGGGACGAGCGGGATACTTAACAAACCAATTAGGATGCCAAAAACACAAAAAGAGAAGGCAGCAAGTCATAAAACAAAGAACAAGTATGCGTGCGCTAGGTGTGCGTGTGACAGACTACCAGATACCCTGTATGATGTTGCATATATTTATAGCTATATTTATATATATGGGCTATAAATTGATAAAGTAAGAAGAGCCAACGAACTAACTAACCAAAGAAGAGTTATGTGTGTTAAAAAAGATATTTATCGAAATGATGAAGAATTATTTAACTATAAAAAGTATATCGGCTGAAAGTGAAGTAAGTGAAAGTGAGGTAAGCTTCTTTCCTTCGATATATAAGTTATTGTGAGCGACAAAAATAACTGAATCGCAAATTTAAAAAATCGATAATTATCGAAAATGTTATAAACGTATATTAAACACCAGAAGATACACAGAGTATTACGTTAAGTGGAGAAATATGCAAGGAAGTATTTTCTCTTATCTATGAAATTACTAAAAACTATCAAATATCATTTCCTGTCATAATATCGATATTTATCGATAATAATAATAAGCTCAATCAATGACAGCAAATCATTTGTTAGCATATAGCGTACTTTGCCTACACTGTAGCACAACTTGCATCAAGCCATACTATCCTGCCTCAAGAAAATACAGGGTATCACGTAACCAAACAAGCAGCATGCGGCAATATCAGTTAATCTATATATACATATCTTCTATATATGCATTTTCCATATAGAAGTAAGGGCAGCAAGCGGAGCGAAAAAACTGACAGCTTACGGATAATTACTGACAAACACACACACACACACACACACACACACACACATATACCTTTGTAAGGAAGAGGTACAGCTAAGCGCCGTGCGGCAATTTGTGTGATCCATTGAGCAAGGTATGAGAGCTAACAGTGGAGGAAACTATATATATGTGTGTGTGTATGTATGTTCATGTATATAGCATATTGGATCGATTGCCCAAACTGTCTTGTTAGATAAGAAAATGATTGGCCCTTTTGGGCCGAGGGCGCAGGCGAGCGTGCTCGGCGGGGGGCGCGACCAGAGCATCGCCGGAGAGCATAATTTCGGCCAGGTAACTGGTAACTAGTTATGTTCATAATTTTTTAAGAATGACTCAAATAGTTTTTCCCTTGGGCTTATCGCAGTGGAACGATCTAAAGAGTTTCTATTTTCCTTTCGGTTTGGCTCTCTTGATGTTGGTCAAGTTGGTATCAATTTCCTGCTATGATTGAATGAATCTTTAGTTTTTCTTCTTCTTTTTTTCTGGTATGTGGGCGTCTTATCGCTTGGTCAAAATCTACAAAAAATTGCCAAGTTCCGGGAAATTTTCAAACACCTATTTTTTCCCTTCTCTTCTTCATTATTTTTTTTGACAACATTTTGTACTTAGTTTTATTTGATTTAGCAACTAATCTGAAATCCCGACGCTCTTGCGTGTGGTGCTGCGTCCCTTGCTCTGCTTGCAGCATCTTCTGCTGCTCGGATGAGTCATTTAATTGAGCCGAAAATTGACTTTGTAGTGCAATACAGAACCGGGATAAATTAATTTACCGAACCTTGATAAAAACGAAGAAGAAGCAGAAGAAGTAAATAAATAAAATCCAAGCATGACTCACACGGACTCGAAACTTGTCTCATCTTGTCTCTAGTCGAGTCGAGCTGGCGGAGAATTTTTATACATATTCGTTCATAAGCTGAAGAGAGTTTTGGTTGGCTTGGTGCGACCTTCGTCTTGCTATACGTCCGTCTGTTTGTCCGTCCGACCGTCCGTATGAAATATTCAAGCTAGAGACTTGAAATTGAGTAGCACTAGAGTCGCGCCAACTTGGGAAGTACTATATGGGGTATATAGGCTTGTGTGGAGCTCACATAACATCAAAAATATATGGTGGATATATCTACTGATCTGATAAAGCTGTATCTTACGCAGTTTTGGAGCTAGAATTCTAACATTAGAGCTATTGTTATCAAAAGAGATATGTGATAGAAGGATCAGCTCCTGCACGGATAGACCTATACAATATGTGGCTCACCCTTTGAGGCTTAACAAATGCGGGAATAAAGATGTATGACACACTTAATGGATTTCGGACCGTGAGCGAGTATTATTCTGTCATTGCGTCCCGACTGCAACATTCTTACTTGTCTGAGAGATTCTATAAATAGCCTCAAGTCGGTTTTCTTTATATATATATATAAATATATATATATGTGACAAAAACCTCAATTTGCGTGTCTGGCGCAATCCCCAGCCTTATCAGCTTACTATATATAAATAATCGAGTTTTTTCTATAACAAAAGTTGCATCATATTTAGATCGCCAGCTGATTGATTCGCATCATTTGCCTTGATGTCTCTTTGCGTATTAGTGAATGCGTTTGTATTAGTGTCTTTTTCTATAAAGAGCTTTCATTGTTAACGCCGCGAGCTTTGAGCTTAAGCAACTGCAGTGTGCATGATCCCCATACGTGTGATCTATAATTAACTTATGGTTACTAAATATAGAATTTAATATAATTCTACTAAATTAAACAATAATATTTTAAAAAAAATAATAAAATAATATTATTTTAAATATAAATTGTAAATTAAATAATTTTACTATAAAATTATAGCTTTGAAAATAATTTAAGTCCATGTTTATTTAAAAAAAAAAAAAACATTTAAGTGATTCAATTATTTTAGAAATAAAAATTTTTGGATTAAAGCCAACTTAAATAGTATTAATATAGTTATGTATATAAAAAATTTGAATTACTTTGTCATTTGATTTAACTATTAACATTTTTTAAGAAAACAAAAGGAAATCGTTTAAAAGGCTGAAAAAAATAATTTCTGATTTTGAAATTGAAATAAAAATTGCAAGTATTTTTGTTTAGTTTAATTAGTAAGTAAGTTTCCAATAAATACTTTAATAAATTCTGTTCCATCAACATTTTGTTTGTTGAGGCATTGTTTACGCCCGACTTTGTAGTTTTCCGTAGTGATGCGAATATGTTTCTTGGCAACTGTTTACGATTAGGCGCCACGCGTTGCGCTTTTCATTCGAATCGGAATATCAGAGCGAACATTGAGTGATTTCTTTATATATTTACAATAGCTTAGTTATTGTGTTTATCTGGAATACCTGCGAGCACTTAAGTTCGCGCGCACTCGCTATCATCTTATCGACAGAACACGTAATGCTCGCTACTCCGGTAACCGGACAGCTGACAGCGGGCAGCGGAGTGGGCAGCGGTTAGCTTTTATGCTGTGATAAGCATTTGCATTCGCCTTTGTTTAAAGTGATCGAAATTGTTGTTGTCTTGCTCTGATTGGTCTTCAAAATTGTCTTCGAAAGCTATTTTTAAAGCCAACCCGGGCCGCACCATATATAGACCTTCGATAGCTCAGTTGGTAGAGCGGTGGACTGTAGACAGAAATACACAAGTGTAGATATCCATAGGTCGCTGGTTCAAATCCGGCTCGAAGGATCATGGTAATATTTTTTTTTCGTTATTAAAACTGAATTATAGAAAATAAGACTATAATTAAATTGCAGGGTAATAATTAAATTGCAGATACTAAATATTTATATAGTTTAACTAAACGATTATATCGAATGCTTCGTTTCGATTTTATTTATTTAAAATTAATTTATTTATGTTGTACTTTTTAGATCATTAATTATGTATTTTGATATAAACTGGTTGTGGTAAACAATGAAATTTGTATGAAAACTTTTAAGTAAATTTCATAAATAATTTTTTTCTCTTAATATTAGTTATGTAAATAATTTCAAAAATCTAAAATAGCTCGTAATATTTATAAAAGCACAAATAATAATAAAAAAATAAAAAATTTGAATCCTTCGAGCCGGATTTGAACCAGCGACCTATGGATATCTACACTTGTGTATTTTTGTCTACAGTCCACCGCTCTACCAACTGAGCTATCGAAGGTACATGTTGAGGGGGGAATTTCGGCTGTTGTTAAGCTACTCACCTCAGCGTTCCATGAAAACTTTTCGATATTTCGCAATAGCATTTCGAACATAATCTATTTTTAGTGAATAAAAACACAGAGCGTTTAAATTGTTTTTGTATGTTTTTTTAATACAATTTTTTCTTTATATTTTTTCAACTTTCTTCATCATGATCACCATCATCATCATCATCAGCATTGTTTTTTAAATAAATAAAATAATAAAAATTTATAAGAAAATTACAAAATAAAATGGCGCGCTCCTCTATACCAGGCGCAATTACGTTTCGATATTTGCTTTTCGAGTACTTTTTTTGTGTTTTTTTTACGTTTTACTAATTTTTTTTCCAACATGCTGCTTAAAAGTAATAAATTAAATGCTAGATTAATTTATGTATATTTAACATACGATTATTATATTCGAGTTTAGCTTAAAACGCATAACAATAAACGATAGTTTTTTTTGTTTTTTTCTTTTTTCAATCAATTTTTGTTTATATTTAATTTAGTTTTAGTTGTAGTTTAACTTTAGTTTTAACTTTTGATTTAGTTAATAAGTGTTTACCTTTGTTTTATGATACATTTTACATTTAGTTTTGGGGAACGAACTTGAATACCTCCGCAAGGTAAATATATATATATTTAGTTTTTAGTACATATACAATATACATATATATATAAATATATATATATATTTTCTATACTTTTTATAATAATTTCAAGTTTTTACTCTTTGCAGGACATTTTCGCTTGCCTGATTCGATTTTTACAGTTGTTTTTATATATATTTAGCTTAGCATTAGCTTTTCTATACAATTTGTTCAATTCAGCAAGATACAAAAGTATCTCAGAGTGCGGTCTATGGCATTGGTTTTGTTGACTGCTAGGGGTGGGGGCGTGGTGGGGCGGCTATTTACAGTTGTTGCTTGCGTCTCGGCGTTTGGCTCTGTGCAACATTTCCAAAGCCTGGCTGTGGAAAGTGACAGAGGCGGCGGCGGCGTCGGCTGCTGGGATGCGGGGGCTGAGGCTGGGGTTGGGTCTCTGGTCGGTCGATTGTGGTGGCTGCATTTCGCTCTACATACAATTAAAGTCTACGATTTACACTTAAAATTCAAATATTCAGTCCATTTTGTTTGCGTTGTGTTTAAAGCATTGACGGCTTGGAACCAAACAGCATTTGATGCTCTCTCTCTCTCTCTCTCTCTTGCTCGCTCTCTTTCTCTCTCTCTCTTCTCTTGCTGTTGCTGTTGCTTTGTGGCTTATCGACAGCCACAGCCAACAACTGTCATATCCTGATAGTTCTTGAGCACAACTGTCCTTTGGTCATTGAGATAGAGCATCGAGATGCCCTCCAGCTGTGTGGGCACACAGCACGCCTTTGGTACCTTCCCTGGATTGATATTATTGACTAAGGTCTGGACGACCGCATGATTTGTGGAATTCAGATGGTCGGCCAGTGGAAACGGACACTTGCCATGGCAGTAGTACGCATCGTAGCCCGGCGGCGCGACAATCCAATCGCTCCAGCCCACATCCTGGAAGTCCACGTAGAGCGAATGCCGTCGACATGTCTCCTCGTGATTCTTGCGACGCGAGCGTCGCTGATGCCGGCGATTGCGACCGCCCCCGTTGCCGCCGCCGCCGCCCTCCCGGGCGCTCACGTCCCGAATCGAACGGGACTTGTGCCGCCCGTCGTCTGTGTAGGTGAAGAGCAACGGCTGCTTGTGCTGCCACTCATCGTGCGCCTCGTCCGCACTGCGGCGTAGACGCACATGATGATGCGGCGCCGGCTTCAGGGAGCGCATCGTGCGCACCTCCACCAGCAGGCCGAAGTTCTTTTGCGGTGTTTCCAGCCACCGATCAACGGCCGGTTGGACATCCAGACTCACCGTCTCGGTGCTATTCAGACGCACTGTCTTCGTGTCCAATAGCAAGTAGCTCGGCTCCCGATGACCCCGCACGCCCACTCTCGTTATGTCGTAGACGAGCACCTGGTAACGTGTCCGATTCACCGCTTGGCTGACGCTCAGCGCTGATCGTGTCAGCTGCAGCTCAGCGGCCTTCAGCTTCTCCTCGGCGGGTATGCTCTTCACATCGAAGTGCAGCCGAAACCGATGATGATGTGGAAATCTATCGTCGATTTTACTATCTGAAATGGTAGAGAAGGAGACGTCGAAGAGTTAGCGATATAGATATATATAAATTAATGGGAAGTATACATAAGAATAATTGGAAAAATAAATCAGAAAAGTAGCCATGAGAGTTAAGAGATATAGAAGAGTGACAAATATGTGACTTTAGACTTAACACTTTGATGTAGTAAAAGAAATGATATATAGAAAATTTAATCAGAAGAGAGCATCTGGATAGGAGTTAAGGAATAGCAATTAAATTATATAGGAAAGCACACAATATAATAGAAATTTAATTGGTATTTGATATAGTAATAAAAATTACATGAAAATACAGAAAATATCTTTAAGGAAATCCATAAATGATTAAAAATCAATAGTAGATCGAAGAGTTTTAATTAAAACATATAAAAGAAAAATTACATATATAGGAAAAAGAGAAGCGTATCACAAGTATACATAGTATAAAGTCATATATAGCATATAGCCACATTATTTAGACATATAGAAAAGCAGCTTAAAGAAATATAGTATACATCATGGAGATATATACAAATATGTCTCCATGAGGAAATACCACACTAGAGAATATGAAATGCGGAATATAATTTGAAATATGAAAAATAAAATACATAGAAAAAAGGCATTAAAAAAGATAAAAATGCTAAGGCATAGAAATATTAAGAAGATCTTGCAAAGTAAAAATAAAGAAGAGTTTAGGGAGCTCAGTGTAGGATTTGTACTAATAAAAAACTTTTAAGACTTAGTGAGACGAAGAGGAAAACTTAGGAGCTCTACTAAATGTGTATAATAAATATACAAAAATTAGATAAAAGTATAAGAGTCTTCAAAATAAAATATAAAATAAAAATATATTTAAATAAAATACTAAATATTCTAAAATTAATACTACATAAATGTGAGCTAAAGAATCAGAGTTTGCACTTGCACAAGGCGATCTGGATTAGACACTGCCACTCTCGCAGCTCTCCCTCTCTATCCCTATCGCATTCTCTTTCTATCTCTCTGGTTCACTCTGTCTGCCGCTTACTTTGTCGTAGCCGACTTTTACGACTGGCGCCTGCTGCAAAAGACCTGACCCACCCACCGTGAGCGAGCCGCAGCGGCTCTGGCGCACCAGCAGCAAGGTGCAAGGCGCAAATCTTAATTTGAATCGCAAGCGAAAGACACAAAATGGGAAGAAAAAACTCTCAAGTACCACGAAACAAAAGGAGACGAGGGAAACGGCGTCGTAAATGCTGTGAGCCGCAGGACGAGAAACGAGAACCCAGGACCAAAGCAGACTCGAGCACGGCTTAGACACTTGGCTTTAGACACTTGGCAGTGCTACCTGTTATATATATGTGTGTATATAGCATATATATGTATATGTTTGTATGTGTGCCTCTCTGTGTGTGTGGCTGTGTGCTATCTAGCCTAACTGCTTTATTGTTCATCCCCTCTAATCCTGTGGAAAATAATGCGAAATACGCTTTAATAATAATTGTTATTTTTACAAACACAATATAAAAGCCATTTGGCGCATGCGCTAAACGTTCCGGGTGTAATTCTCTAGAAAAATTTCAAGGTCACATTTGGGTTAAGAGTTTGCGGCCAACAGCACAGGTAATACAGGACACCGGAGAGAGAGTAGCTGAGAGAGCGCGCACGCGAGCGTTACCTGTGCTCAGTTGTCCTTTCATTTGAAGCTGCGGAATTTCCGCGTGATTTCTCAACGCTTGCGTGAATGATGAAACCTATATAAAGATACCTGTGTAGGTGTAGGTGTAGGAGCCGCCTTTGGGCAGGTATGCAAATCGCTTAGATGAACTGCAATTTCGAGGGAAAATCCTGGCCATCGCTTCATTCGCGTTTTGCTAGCGGAAAGTACGCGTTGCTCAAATTCAGATCTAAAGTGCCACACGGCAAGCAGGTGCAAACTGCCCACAACAGTGCGCTTAGAGAACATAAGACATGGCAGCAGAGCCAGATTTCTAATACTTTAATTCTATTTAGCTGCAGAGCTATTATAGCAAATGTGCTTACTGAGTGGGTCAGACTGCTTCTTTAGATATCTAGAGCTCCTCGATGAATTATTTGATATTTCTATTGTCATTAAGAATTCTAAAATATAATATCTAAGCTTCAGTATTACCTAAATTCTTATATATTGCACTCTCAAGTCTTAAATCTCTTTGGAACTTTTATAGAAAATTCCAAATTTCATTTTGTTGCTAAAGATCTTCAGGATGGATACATATTTGGGTATACCTCTCTAATGTCAACATTATATATCATTCTAAAGGTTCTTTGCATTATAAGTTTTAGTTTTTAGTGATTTTCAGTTCTTAGTGATAATATATAAATAAATATTCTGCTTAAAAAAAAAATGTGCAGATAAAGTTTGTGTCTAAAAATGATATTTTTTTGTTATTAGTTTTAAAAGCAAAAAATAAATTTAAATTACATGCAATACAAATTAATTAATTAAAACAAATTTACGATTTTTTAGCTTTTGCTGTTTTCTAAAACATTGAAATATTGCTGAAAATATATATTCAAAATATAATTCATAAATATATTTGTTATATGATTTATGTATATTTTTATATATCTTTCTTCATATATATTTCAGAAAACTTTTATACTTCAGAAAACTGTTTTCTATATGCCAGTGATTCAAATATTTTTTTTTCAAATATTTTATATTAAAATAATAATTATTATTTAAAAAATATACTGATAGTAATCATACAAATTGATTTAAAAAAATTGTAATAAGGTTTTTTGTATTTAATTAACAATAATTAATAAAGAAATTAAAAAAAAATAATTATTAGGTTTTAAAATGTTTGGATATTATTATATAAGAATGTGTAAAAAATTGAATTAATATACGAATTATATATTACATTATATTATATACATATGATATATATAAGTAATATTCTACTCGAGATTGGCATTGACTTTCAGTAAACTTTAATTAAATTTTTAAATTATATATAAAAAATTAAAAAATATAAAAATTAAAGAAATGTTTATAGTTGAAAGAAAGTTTATATTATGTATATTTTATATTTGAAAAATATAATTTATACAAAATATAATATATTAGAAAAGATATATAAAGCGCGCAAACTGAAAAATTGTTCTTATATTTTTCTATATTCCATAAAACTGCTTTGTCTTGGGACATCTGCATAAAACTCGACTTTAACTAATATTGTATTGAATCTTCAGTTCTATATAGCTAGCCTATCCTAAGTTCTAACTATCGATATACCAAGTCCTAACTTTTCCTAAGCAAACTCCAAAGCTCTTTCAATTACTTTGTCTCTCTTCAATTGTATATAGTATTCTATTTTATATCCTTTAGCTACTCGGACTCACCTTTATGTGTAAAACTTCGGACAGTGTTCGCTGATTTGGTCAATAGTCCCGGCTTGGGTATATTCACGGAATCAATTTCGTGTCCCATGATCTGGGCATAGAGATTCTTCATGGCCTCCGGAATTATGATTTTGGATCTGTCGATCTTCGGCGGCCTCTTCATGTTGAACAGCGATAGCAGACTGTTCTCGATTTCGACTAGAGTGGATGGATCCGGTTTCACTTTGTCCTTGATGATCTCTTTGCTGCTGTAGGTGGCTGGTTCGTCCTCGACGATGATTGCATCCGCAACGCCCGGCATTTCGAACTCCCCCAATACGCTGTCCGTGCTCTCAAATGGGGCGGCGTCAACTGGCGCGGGGGCGTGGCCAAACACTTGTGTCTGCGGCGTTGCTGCTGCTGTTGTTGGTGTTGTAGTTGTGTGTGTTTGTTGTTGTGGCTGTTTGTTGGCCATTTTGTTAGTTGATTTAGTATGCTTATGCTGTTTATGCTTATTTTTGGAATTTTTGGAATATTCTAATTGGTCTGTTCTTGTTTTATGCACTTCGTTATTTTGTTTTAATGCAACGGCACTTGTTTGCTGCTTCATATTAATATCACTATCACTGCTGTTGTTGATGTTGTTGAGTAGCAACTCATTGAATGGCTTAAATGCTTTAGCTAATGCTGTTGTTGTTGTTGCTGTTGGTTTAGTATTGATTATGGCCTTAGTTGTCGTTGTTGGCGCTATCGCTGCGATAAATCTGGTCGATATATCCTCGGTGCTAGCAACTTGAACGATCGTTTGAAAAGTCGCCAGCACTGCGAGGAGTAGAAGCCATGCGCGCATGGTCGCTTGCAACTCTGAAACGATACAAAAACATAGGAAATTTTGTTTAGCATTTGTCGATAGGGTTAAAAACGACGCCGGCAGCGCAGCCGGCAGCGGCAGCCACTCAACTCAATTCACTCAAATGTGTAGCGCGTGCGCCCTGCGCCAGAGCGAGACGACTATACATGCACAGAGCATAGCTGGCGCACACACACACGCATACAGCAGCAAATGCGTTTGCGGCTGCGCGCTCTGAGCGCAGCGCAGCGACGTTTTGAGTGTGAGAGCGCGCGCACACACACATACACAGACATTGAGTGACTTTTTTGTTGTTTTTCTTTTGGTCAGGTAGCAGCTTCCTTAAGCGCAGTTTTATGGCCAGCGAAAGGTGCGTGCGTCCTGGCAGCAACAATACGAAGAACTATGAACAAACTGAACTGTGGCTCATTGGCTGACGCACGCACACAGAGAGAGACCAAGAGAGAGCGAGAGTGTAAGAGTGAGAGAGAGCGCGCGACTCATTTTTGAGCGCTTTTTTGTGGTGTTGCAATCGCGTCGGACATTGCACCTTTTCGGCGCTGACACACGATCTGTGGTATGCAGCAGCGATTTGTGTCTACGCTTAGAAATTCAATACAAATCAAACACACACACACACCTGTTCGAGAGTGGGGTGTTTGGCGTGGAAATTAGAGAAGCCAACGGGGCCGTCATAATTTTTCGTCATTTTTCAATATTTCATGTAAGACGAACTTATCGCCCTTTTTTTGATTTATACACAGGCGGCATTTGTTCAATAAAGAATTTTCTACATTTTCACTATCTGAGTTTTGGGGAAAATTTATGAAAATTATTTATTAAAAGTATTCTATATAGATTTCTAGTTATTGTTTTTGTTTTTGTTTTTTCTTATGGGCTATAAATTTGTTTAGATTTTATCTCAAAGATGAGCCCCGTAGCCTGGGCGCACCTTAAGCAGGTCTACGTGCCCCTCACACACACACACGCACAACAAATTACATGTTGTTTTTCACATAAAGATTAAAATCTTATCTAAAACGAGGCGGCAAAGGAATTTTCAAAAAAAAAAAAAAAAAAACAAACGAAGTAGAAGAAGAACATTTCGATTCGAATTAGTTGGCACACGCTGGGGGGTGTCTTTTATTTTGTACTTCGTCTAGATCGTAGATAAGGAAAAGGCGCCGAGGCTGAATGAAAATTTTCATAATTATGCATTATACATTTGACTTATCGAAATGCATTATGAAATGTTCATAATTTGTTTTCTCTTTTCTCCGTTTTTAATATGTTCCCAGAACAAACGAAGCAGGAGTGGGAGAAGCAGCAGGAGGAGTAGCGGCAGGAGTCGCATACCTGCTTGCATTTCCGGGGGGTTTTCCGCTATTGAGCGCATTGCTGGGCTTTTCCCAGCTCTCATTCAAGAGCGCAAAAAAACTCAGCTAAGCATTTGACTCAAATTTCATTTAATTTACTTCATATATTTTTTACTATTTTTTTAAAATTATTTTTGCCAATTGACAACTTTTTCTTGTTGCTTTCCGGTTGTGCAATAAATGATATAGTAGACTATGTAGCCAAGTGTGTCACACACACACACACACACACACACACACTAGCTAGTCAGCACAATGTGCACTCAAAGATACAAAGATACAATGAGGCTAGAGCCAAATACAATTCATATTATGTCTTTTGGCCGATAATTTATGTGCCAAAGGACACTCGACATGTCCTTTGTGGTGGCATTTGCCGACACACTCGCTGCGCACTGCGCTGTGAGCCAATTCCCAGAATCCTTTTGAGCATCTACTACGATTATGATATATTATGAGAGTTGCGTGCGTGAAAATATTTTGATCGAGCTGGGCATTTCCACTAAGTTGTAAAATTGTTTGATCTAAAGTTACAACTATAAAGAAATGCAATTGAAGCGAGACTTAAGATTGATCTTATCTGAAGTTGACTTAGCTCTTGATAAGTGAATTGGCAAATGTGGAATTTGTTGCTCTCTCATTTGTATACCACATATAAAAGCTCTTTAGATATGATGCAACATAAAAATTGATAAAAATTATTCAGTTCAACTTTTTTTGTGAATTGCAAACTACTAATAAAAAGTTCTTTGAATAAAAAGAAACTTAAGAGAACGTGCTTAATTGAAAGATTTTTTATAGCTCATAAAAATAGCATATATATATCGTACATATATAATTAAAAATAACGTCTCAACTATCTATATGTTATCAGACTCTTAGCAGCGGAAAAACAAAGACAACATGCAACAAATTATAACTTATTATTAACTACACAAAAGTTGTAAAAAACCGATATATAATAAATGCTAACAGATGCAAATAGAAAAAAAAAATTATTAAAAATAAAAAAATATATTAAATACATATAAAAAATTGCGAACAATTTTTTTTAAAAATGTATAAACAAAAAAGAAACGCAATAAATTATAAAAGTTATATAAGTACTAGCGATAAATAAATAAAATTAGTTAATTAATTTGTACAAATAATGTTTAAAAATTAATTTAAAATTAAAATTAAAAATAAATTATAATAATAGTGTACAATAATAAATTAATAAAATCAATATTTAATTATTAACTTAAAGAAATTTTTATCTTAATAATGTAAAGAGCATATTAGTTTCCTACAAATATAGCTTAAAAATTGATATTGAAGATAAATAAAATATGGAGTAGATATAGCCTAATAAATTCCGATTTAAAATATTTATTTATTATATAAAACAATTTATGTGATCAATTAAAATATCAATAAGAAAAATATATTTATATATATGTATATATATATAACTCTTTAATTGAATATGATATAAGAATCTCATATTTCCATATTTCATGTCATGTTTAGTCAAATTGAGTTCACACGATTCAGTTGGTATTTTTAAAATACCAACATTGCTATAGGTCTTACGTATATGAGTGTAATGCACTCTACAATGGAACACCTGTAAGAGTTATGTAAAACTCAAACTCTATTTTCGTTCTTTCTTATTTTCCAATATCAAATGAAACTCGAACAAAAAATGTGGCGATCTAATGAAATTGTAGCCCAGCGATTATGCATATTGGCCCAGGGATCAAGGTGTGTGTGAGAGGGCTTATACATGAGTGTGTGTGTGAGGTTCTCACAGCTGGCAAAGTTAACAGTAGCTTGACCTAAGCTTAAGGGCAAACAGCGCAAGGGCAGGCACACAGCGAGGGCGTGTGAGGGAGAGAGAGAGAGAGATAGAGCCTGTGGTGTGAGCGAGAGCGCTGCACTCCGTGTGTGAACTCAAAGAAAACTCACCTCAGTCTTATAAAGTTTCCTATGTTTTCGGATAACTCGAAATCTAGTTGATGTGTGCGTCTCTCTCTATATATTTAGTTTTTCCTTTACACATATATATATATAGTTTTTCATATATATATTTACTTTTTCTTTGATTTCTTGAGCTATATTAATTTAAGTAAGCCGCGTATTTTGATGGATTGCCTCGACACTCAGCCCCCTGCGAGCCAGTTCACACTTAATAGATTTATGACAACGCGCCTTATCGCAGCTGCAATTGTTGTAAACGTTGTTGTTGTTGTTGTTGCTTTGGTTTTTATAGATATTTGCACAATTTACAGCTGTTTAACTTGCTTCTGGCGCGTCTTCGCTTTGGCTACCGTTGCAGCAGGCCAAAGTAACAAAATTTTATGTATAAATCACGCTTGCGTCAATATTTGATAAATCTTTGATAAATATCAACATATATATATATATATAGTATATGTATATATGTATGTGTGTGTTTGCTTGTAGGTTTGTTTGTCTCTTTGTAAATCTCAGTTTTGTCTGTAGGTTTTTCGCTTGCGATAATTGTAGATGAAATAGATGAAATTCTTGTTGAAAATTTTATTGCCGCATTCGAGGCGCAGGCGTAGCCGCTGAGTCCACTGATTGTGTGTGTTTCTTGTTGTTGTTGTTGTTGTGTTTGTTGTTGTCAGGGCACATGACACAGCAGCTAAGTATCTGTGAGATACTTTAAGCATTGGCACTTTCTTGTTTTGTTGTTGTTGTTTTCTTGTTTCAAACTTTTTTACATTCAATTTGCGATTTGCCTTTACAGCGCATTGTTGTTGCTGCTGCTGCTGTTGTTGTTGTTGTTGTAGTTTCTGCTGACGGCACAGTTAAGCACATATTTTCCAAATAGTATAACAACAAAAGCCCGAACCAAATATGCCGACAAAAAAAACAACAAACATATGCAAAGTGAGTCGCACGAAGAAGCGAAAATTTTGGAGTTGCACTTCACATTTGAGATACTTTAGCTTTAGCTTCAGCTTTATCTTTATCTTTATCTCTATCTTTTGTTGTGGTTATTTTTCAGGGCTTCCGCACACGCACACACACACGCACAACAAATTTCAAATTATTATTTACTAGAAATTTTTTACGCCAATTTTTTGTTCACAGTTTTTTCTTCATTTTCTTGACTTTTGGCGTCGGGACCAAAGTATCAATATTGTTTTCGACTCGATCAGCGCTGTGGAACGACTAACGCCTTACTGTCTGGCTCTACCTGATTCGAGTTACAGGTAAGACGCGCACGCCAGCGATCAGTCGAGTCGCCCGAATGCATTCTTCGGCTCTCAGTCGGTTCGTCTCGTCTCTGAGTGAAAACGAGCGCGCGCGCGCTCAATCATGCTCACGCTCTCCCACACACATACACACACGCACACATTGGCGCCCATTCGCTCTCTGTGTATCTCTATCACTTGTGCGCTTTTTGGCTCTCTGCAAGTTTTACTGTTGCTGCGAATGATTATTATTTGATCACGCATCCATCTCGTCTGAAGTTCCCTTTGCCACTGGCAGCCAGCGCGTCGTCAGTTTTTGCTTTCGACTGAACGAGCGCTGAACGAGTTCTTTTCTTTTTGTTCTTTTTACAATTGAGCTAAAAACTGTGAGAAGAGAATGAGAGAGAGAGAGACACTCACACGCACTCACAC